TGTTTCTATATCTATATCAAAGTTAGTCTTGACATACCTTTCAAGGCCCATGTCCCTCATAGATAACTTGATAGTATCTGCTGTGGCTCCCTCAGCTTGAAGCTCCGCCAATCTGTCCTCAACAAGTTTCTTCTCGGCTTCGATGTCTAGCCCTGGTCTCCCATTCAATGTGTCTCCCATGAAGTAAGGACTCTCCTTTACTAGTCCAGCCGTTTCACCCGATACATATGCTGAAAATTACCACCACTAATATCGATCAGCACGAGTCTAATAAAGATCGCTAGCTTAAATAGTGTATCAATAAACACAGGACTTTTTAACTATGACTTAACTCCCAATTGCAACTCATTTTACACTCTTAAGTGTCTTGTGTTCTTACCATGTGTCCATTATGTCACGTACTAATAATTAATTTATCTACATGTGCTCCTTTATCTGATCTTCAATACGAAGTATGATTTAATTATTATGTATAAGCTCAATTATGTTGATTACATTATTTAAACCCTAGAAAAGTAACGATAATATGATAATAAACTCAATATTTGTACTAACCAGTCGATACTTGGACGAGCACCCCCAAGTGTTTACATTTCTTAGCAAAGTCCAGTACATGCTTGGCTCCGAAAGTATTAAGGTATAACGAAGCATCATACCTGTAACAATTTTTTCAAACATCTCAAGCATTTACCTATATAGTCGTACCATAAATAAATTAAATTTCTAACACGAAATGTTAGCCACTTAACAAGGGTAAACAAAGAAAAAATATTGCCATCTTCATTAATTATCAACCCATCTTTTAGTAATTTTCTGCGATCTAGTTTATTAACCAAATAAGATTAAAACTGGCATTTACGTAATTGTTAACTACAGTACTATCTATCAGCAGGCAGCAGCTAATAAGATTACTTTATGGATAAATTAGGTTATTTTATGGATAAAGAAGTTAGACACTACTTCGGTCATTTTCAATTAAAAAAGAAATCTCACTTCAATAATATATTCCAACTTATGTACTATCCCTTGGTTATATTGTGTGATAATATAAAGCAATAATTTTAATACAACAATACATGTAATTCCCTAAAAAATAATATGGAGAATTGGCCCGTTTTGTGTGTGGCAGGTCACACCATGTAAAATAACAAAGTAACTGGTCCTATAACATGACCGAGTAACCCCTATAAACACTGACCAAGTAACCCCTACCGAGTAACCCCTATAATATTGACGAAGTAATCCCTGTAACACTGAATGAGTAACCCCTTTAACACTAACGAAGTAACCTCATGATTGCGGGGCACTTGATATGACCAGCCACATATATAAATTTTGTGTAGAACAATAGTGAAGTACTAACATAATTAATTATTATATTGGTAATTAAGTGTACCTTTCATCAAAGTTGGTAGTTGCAGCTAGGTTAACAATAACATCAATATCTCTCCATAGTTCTTCCTTTAATTTAGATTCATTGATTGCCAAGTCTGCACAAGTTATATCACCTGCCACCACAGTCACCTTTTCTTGTATGAAGGTATTGAAGTTTGCTCCCATCTTTTGCTTCACAACTTTGAACAAGTCTTTTCCAATCACCTAATAAAACAAAAAGTATTTGTACTTAGGTCATTACATTGGTCTTTTCTTTTCCAATTTAATTATTTAAATTCTACTTTATTGAAAAATTATTTAGAAATAAATAAAAAAGCATGCAACACTTTTTGCTAGGTCATCTATGAATTATTATGTTATATTATACGAAATATCTGAATAATCATAATTAAATTATGCACCCTTAGCTCACTCTATCTTATAAATTATAATCACACACATATACTTCTGATCAACCTTATATACGTTTGAAAGATGTTACCCTTAAATATATACTCTGTAATACAAAGTCATAATTGCTCATGATTAAACCTTGTTGGATTTAGAGTTAAATGATTGATGAGAAAATAGTTTTATAAAATAACTACTTTGTATGATGTAAAATTCTATATGTTATATCCTTAATCATACAAAATTGGGATAGTGTAATAACTATTATATGGATTAATTTAGTTATCAATCATTTGAGCTAGGGGATAAAGCCTCATACCATTAGTTTATATTTTGTGTAAATTTAAGTAATCAATGTGCCAAAAAAGAAATGACAATTTCTTAATAAAGGATTAGATTGTTAGGTAGGAGACTATTCATTCATACAAATAGAAAGAAAGATGTGACAAAGTTCAAACATTTCTAGACTGCAATGGCAAATCTTATCAACCTAACACTTTAGTTTGCCCGAAAAAACCACCAAATAATAACAGATTTCAGGGAAATGAAAAGAAAAAAAAACAACAAACAATATATACCATATGTAATAATTTCTTCCATTTTTACTGGTACTCAGTAGTAGTTACTGAAGCCAACTACCCTCCTGACCCAATAAGGACACCCATTAACTAAGCAAAAGTAGGAGTATGTATGAAATTTGTGGTACTAAAGTTTTATATACAAGTAAGATATATTTCCTTAAATAATAATCGTACATATTTTTTGGTGTTTACTCGATTTATCCTTTGGGTTAATCCAGATTCGGGGCTCAATTTTGAATGGTAAGATTTCACTCCCCTCCCAATTGTAATAGTTAAATATGAGCAATAACATACCAACAAAAGTGACCAATGAGCGACGTATTGGCCAAGTGATATGCACTAAGGATGGGGTATAATAGGTCAATATATTCAAATCTCGCTCTCATCATTTGTAATATACGGGCCAAAAAGATACAGTACTAAAAGAGGAAAGTTATGATGCTCTTTTATTTTATTATTCCTCAATTATAAAAAATAAAATAAATAAAAAAAATAAAAAAAAAGTTCCAAATTGCGAAATATTATTCTCAATGTGATGAGTTGATGAATAACATTGAGCTTCATTTTATGAGTAAAAATCTAGCTAAAAGAACTTTTTACGGAAAAAAAAAAAAAAAAATCTAGAAATTAAAAGACAAAAACTTGAAAAACACTTGCTACTCAATGTCTCACTAACTTTGTTTATGTGCTAAATAGACAAAAAATACATTAATTAGATAAAAGTAGCACAATGCTCATGTTAAACTTTATAAAAACAAGCTAAATTTTGCAGAATAAATATACTCCTTAATTACCTCATTTTGCAACCGTAGTGAAGCTGATTTGTTATCAGCAGCTCTTAGCAGAAGATAAACTTTCTTCACATTAGGTTGAGACCTTAGCACCTTCTCTGCAAATACTACAAACGTAACAAACCCAAAAGAAAGACGGTTACGACTAGACCTGTCAAAATTTGACTCGATACCAACATGATGGTAAGAAAATTCCATCATATTTCTAAACCAAGTAAAACGGTAGTTTAAAAAAACACTTCAATTCAAGCTCATATCTAACTTTACGTGAACCAATCAACCCGTTTGACACGTCTAAATAACGTATAATATGAATAATAAAGATGGGGAGCGATATCATACTCTTTGCTAGAAATCCAGCTCCACCAGTGACTAAAATGGCCTTGTTCTCCAAAAACTTCAAAATGCTATCTAACTCCATTGCTAGATAAACAAAAGAGAGAAAAAGGAAGAGAAGATATAAAATAGAGAGAAGAATTATTGAGAAAAGAGCGTTTTATAGGGTGAATAAGAATAATATGCGGGTATATATATAATGTACTTGTATGATAATATAGGTTATCAGAAATTAGAAAGGGGTAAAAAAGAAAAGACAAAATAATAATAATAAGGTAGAGTATACGCAAGTAATAATAGTGGTGGATTAATACGATAGATTGATGATTTGGTGGGCTAATTCTGTAGCAAATATTTAATTAGAGAACTTGCATTATTATATAAAATAATAATGAATAGCTTAGTTAGACCCACTAATTTGCATAAAATTAGCGTGAAATTCACTAACATACTTTACCCAATAGTTTGGGTAAGGGTAACGCGTGCATGTGGTTCATATTTTGGTCAATGAGTTTTTTTTTTTATACTTTCGTAGTTTGTAGAGAATTTTTGGTATGAGTAACTAGTCAATTACCCAATATTTGTTGAGTTTTATAAACATTACTATAATATAGTGGGAGTAAATCTCTGTCAAAAAAAAATTAAAATGCGAGTAAATCTTAAGCTTGACACTACTTCGTAAATTTGTAATATAGGTATTCAGTAGTTATTTTCTTAATTGTTACGAATTATTTTTTTAATATAATATATAGTTATATTTAAAATTAGATTAGGTCCCGTCATGCACGGTAATTTCATTACATTTAATCAATAAATAAAATTGTATCAACTCCAAATCTCCAATTCCTCCAAATTCATTTAATTATCTTAAATTTTAAGATCATGATGTACACATTACTGACAATAGATGTCAATTGTGGTAAGTATATTACTCGTATAACGTCGTATGCATTCAAGTTATCTAGCTTGTAACTTTAACCTACTAATCAAAATTAAGAATATGACATTTTATTAAAAGGCTAAGTCATTATTGTTTCGGGGTTTTTTGTGTCCCTCGGGAGAGTTACGTCACTAAGTCTGGACTTCGGACGCCTGTACCTGCAAAACAACGGAGACTCCGGTTGGGTGGAGTTCCGCCTCCGACAATCAAGTTAGAACGTGTACGGAGAATGTAAAAAGGTGCGGAAAATAAAGTGAGATCTTCTCGGATTCCGAGATCAGATGTTTTCTCTGAGATGAGATAATTCAGTATTTTCAATAAATTGAATGTCGTCCCCAAAGTGGGGTAAATCTCCCTAATTTATAGGATCATTGAGATTTGTGTCTATGTCTGAAACCTAGGACTAATGGGTTGCGCCGTTTTTGGGAAGTCTAGGGAATTGGGCCTTGAAGGCCGCCAATTCCATATGCAGTATTTGCCTACCACGTGTCTAGCCCTGGTAGGTCTACCTTGGGCTCTTCCTAGAGTGACACATGTCACGCTCTGGTTGGTCCACATGACAGGGTAAAAATACCCAAATCAATTATCACACAAAAGAAGTACGTATCATTTTGTAGTTAATTATGTGCTATTATTATGGTTTTACGGAGTATGATATACCAATAATTGTTTCGTACACCCGGAAGAACATCACCCATGAATAAAAGAACATTATCTATAAATAGAAGAACATTACATATATGTAAAAGAACATTGCCTATAAATAAAAGAACATTACATATAAATAAAAAAACATTACTTATAAATAAAAAAATCGTAGTTATAATAATTTATTATACATTACAAACGAACATAGAGTACATCAAAAAGAACGTTACATAAAATACAGAACATTACATACAAAAAGAACATAACTTAGAAATAAAATAACATTACAGATAATATAAAATAACATTATCTTTATGAAAAAGAATGTTACATATAAATAATGGAAAAATGCTACTACCCAAACCCATGGAGAAGATGATGAACAACAATGTTAGTGCCAAAAATTCAAACAATCAAGTAATTTAATGATAATTAAGCTTTATATGAACAACAAACATTATCACAAAACACAAAATATATGTAAAAATAACAAGCAAAGAGAAAGTTCACTATTGAAGCACAATCTAGGGTTTCATAATCATAAGTAGAACAAAGATGAACAAAGAAAGAGAAGTCATACCTCAAATGAGTAGAAAACCCTTGTAAAGTGAATTAATAGTGGAAATCAAGGGAGTTGAACACTCAATTGCAAGTTTTTTAGCCAAAATAAAAAAATACCCAAGATTCTCAAATCATGAAAAATCCGAAAATTTGGTTGTGAAATTCGGATTTTGGAGTGTAAAATCTAGTATAAATTTGTTTGTGAGTGATGAATTAAGCACATAAAAACTATAAAAATCAAGAAATAAAATGGAAGAAGAAGTTAGAGGGAGAGGAGAGAAAGTATTGAAGAGAGAGAAAATGAATGGGTGAAATGAACATTACATTACATATAAAAAAAAGAACATTACATATAAATGAGGCTTCATAAAAAAGAACATTTACATATAAATAAAAAAAACATTAAGTTTGTCCCAATGTTATTTTATTTATATGTAATGTACTTTCGAGTGTACCATACACATGATACACCCCCTCTATCGTACTATTTTCATGATATACCAATGTTTGGGAGTTGAGTTAGACTGTGTCGGATGAAATTTTCCACCAAACATTCTATATACTTTTTTTCCTCAATTGTTTTTGGAGTTATTCGTTGTGATCTAAATATACAACTCGCACCTACTGCCTAATCAATTTGTGATTAATAACAGTTGAGATTTGTTAGTTTATGTAAGTAATTAAGCTATTAGATCATGTATGATGTGAGATGCCAAATGTGACTAGAGATAAATTGTCAAACATGCAAAACTTATGTTTCTCTATCCCCTTTTCATTAATTAATCAATTATTGTTGAGTGCGCATCAATTAATCCATATAATTAATATGCCTTAAACTTTTTTTTTTTTTTTAATTTACATAAACGAGCAATTATATATAATTTAAGTTTCATACAGAAGCATATAATCATATCTGATCTAGATAATCCCCTGGCGATAGATGCTCGGATTTGTAAATATATGTAGAAGAAAAAAAAATTAATTGCACTCTGATGATATAATTCTTACGGAGTAACATTAATAACACCAATGGCATAAGAGCTAATAACCCATGACAACTTCATAGAATCTAAATGTATAAAGACGCAAAAATAATTTTTTTTCATACAAGAATGAATAAATCAATAAAAATTCACAATTTTATGTACTTAGTAATATGGAAAAAAATGGAGAAAAAAAAAATAGATTTATGAAAATAGTTGATTCGTACCAATTTTTTAGATTCATGGTCATATAGCCTCATAGTATGAAGAAGGAATTTAGGTTAAAAAAATTACTTTAGGGTATTGTTCCAATAGAATATTTACTCCTACTATCACCAATTGACCGGTATAATTAATCATCGAGTGATTTTAGTTTACAACGAGCTAAGCTAGTGTTGTTTGACTCGACTCAAAAACTTCTTACTCATGTTCATCTTCGTAACACTGTCAAGTTTCACTTTTGAAAGGTAAAATAATTTCTTTTTTCAAAATGTATCAATTAAAAATTATGAAGTATTAATTTGTACATACACGAGATTAATGAGTTCGAGATTAATGAGCTGTGTTAGAGCTTGCTGATTTGTACTCGTCAAAGTTTTAAATTTAAATTTAATTAAGCTTTGACCAAATCAAGCTACTTCAAGTGAACTTGCACAATAAGCACTCCTATATAAATCAAAATTTTGCCATATATATCTTAGACAGTTATTAAGAAAATAAATACTAAAAATCTTCAGACATAAAAGAAAATAACATCCACTAATTAATGTGTATTTGGCACCAAAACTTACGAATCAAACGTGTTAATTAATGGCAAAAATGTGGTCATCCTGATTCCTGATCGAACTTGTCCATGCCACCAAAAAGTAATGCGAAGTAAATCATAACATCCAAAATCAATAAATAAGGTAATTTTGAGTGTGACTTTGATTTAACTGCAACGTTAAGCTGCTAAAATAAGCCTAGAACGCTTGCATTTATGCATTGTAAATGTATGGTATAATACTAAATCATGTCCAGCAGCAGCACAGTTAAATAACAATGACAAGTTCACAATATAATACTCAGCACATTAGGACGAAGTAATATACTAATATACATAGATTTAAAATTTATAAATTGTTTGATTTGTAGAAAACAAAAAATAAAACAAAATGCTATGCTCTTCTAACGAATTACATTCTTTAGTCAATACGGAGTAGTTGTCAAAAGATCGAGAAATTCAAATTTCTCAAACAAAAAGAGAAGTTATTATCACATAATACTTACCAGTATTAATTAGTTTTGGAATTTCTGCATACCCTTTTCTTTTTTTTTTTTTTTTTTTTTTTGAGGGCAGGGTGATGAGAATCAATCCCAAGTTCTCTTGAAACGGGAGGGAACTCTAACCACTTGAGTTATCCCTCACTCTCACCCTAATTTTGTTTATTAGACTCTGCATACCCTATTTAATGGCCTTATAGACGAGTTAGACAACTGAACACATAATCATTAGTTAAAGGGATTTTAGAATGTTTACTTAATGTAGTACTGTATTATGTTATGCTCAATCAACTCAAATAAATCTATGGAAATATGCTGATAAATCTATGGAAATATGTCGTCGATTGTATATATGTATGGACAGGGATAATTTTGTTGTTCCTACGTACAACTGGCGAGATTAATTAAACCCCTCAATCTTAGCTTGTAAACTATGATTGCTGTAGGACTGTTGGTACCATAAATGAGGCACATAGTGTAAGGTCGACATTTTCTCCAAAATTCTAACTGCAAAAACTCGTTTGTGCTTTAATGATCTGAAACTGATACGGAATTGGCAATGTGTTACTCTCCTTTTTATTTATTTCCTTACAAAAGACCAAACACAAAATTTAATGTATAAGTGACATAAAGCAACCCCCTCAAAACTAACCACCTAGCTACTATGAGAGCCGTGATCTGACACTTTATACATACGCCCAAATTATATGGAAATAACTAAGCATGCATACTCGAGACATAATTTTGAATTGGCTTGTACGGGTATTATTTAATTTGAAAATGATCGAGCATATGAGC